ATAATAATAAACCATGAAATGGTCCCTCAATTTCTGTATTAATGACAGTAACACCACCACTGTCTGGCAGAACACAGCCACGTCGGGAGGGAGGCCTGCGGAAGGATGGTTTAATCTGGGTGGATTTAAGAAATCGTTGCCTTTGGTATAATTTATGGAAATGAAAAGTGCTTACATTAAACAAATAGCCTGCAAATGCTCTCAGTGATGGGCTCTGCGGCACACGCACTCTAATTTCCAGGTTATGAGTTTCTTAAAAAGAAAATGAATGTTAACTGCCTGGATTTTATGTATTTATTGTTCTAATACTCCCCGATTTCTCGAAAAGCCCTAAGGATACAACCGATCGTGTTAACTGTATCGGAAAGAACATACACATTTTCGTATTATTTTTTTCCTGAACCTACCGGTAACCAATCTAAAGCAAACTATTAAGCAGTTTTGTGGAGATGGGAGATTGCAGCCCCATTTTTTGTCCTTAGCTGCAAATAGAGGTTTAACTTGCAGTAATTAGGTGAGAACTAGCCAAGCATCTTACTATTATGATGCTTGTTAAAAACGCTTCTTTTCTGCATCTGCATTTGAGTGTGTTCCCCTCCACTCTTAATCTTCTTATGGAAATGAAGGCGAACGGCAGGGAACCTGCAGAGACTTAGAGAATGTCCTTGTTAACTGGAATTTCTCAGCATTGCTAATTAGCAGAGTTTGACGACCACCAGTACTGGGGAAAGCTCTGTTTAGCCACTCACAAACCCTTCCGAGGAAGAGCAGACTAATTTTATTTTGTAATTAAAATCTGAAAAGGGCCCTATTTGACAGTTAGGGCTATGAGAGTTTTATCTCCCTGTGAAATAATTACTGCCTTGATAACTCAATTTTCTGCAAAATGTCAACTGTGAGCTCCAAAAGTTTTAATTTCATTACGTTTAAAAAAAAATATATAAAAAAAAGCGAAGACGCAAACGTAGAGTGAGCTTTCCTCTCCCCCCTCTGCTGCTGTGACAGCCCAGCGCCCGGGAGCCCAGGCCAGCCGGGGGGGTTTCACCCCCCAGAGGTACCCCAACCTCCGCGAATTTCAGCTATCACGCGGGGACTTTGCGGCCGTGTCCCGAGGAAAAGCTGGGGAGATGCACCCCGGGAATGCCCTAGGCTAAACCCCGCATTTCCAGCGGGTGCGGGCGCGGCGGG